CAGTACTACTGTCAGTTGAAATTTATAAAATCTTTCTCTTAAAACAATTTTTCAGGAAAGCAAGTTTCTGAAGTCCACTAGCTGTTACCACTCTTTACAGTATTGAGTGGGGGGAACTCCCTTCTTAACCTTTTATTTGAAGTAGTGCTGGACGTCAACTTCTTTATTATGCCATTATTTTCTTCTTGAGTTACTTGTGATATCCATTTTAGTTGTTGCTGCTGTTGAAAGTCTTCAGGTTGTGTGGATTTTGTTATTTGATACAGTTTTTTGTTTGGGATTCTGTAGTACCAGTTCACATGTCTTGAAAAAAATGATGGTCCTTGCTAGACCATACTTCAAATGCTTGAAGCCATTTTTATTCATTGGTCTTAAGAAAGCTGTTGTGTACAGCTGACAATTTAGATATTTATGAAGATGGTTGGTGCCATGCATCACCTCCATATGAAAGTCTCAATATGACAAAGCTATTTAAGAACATGACTTGATATTTTAGGTTGCTGTTTTGGCTTTATAGAAATTCGCTCTCTTGGATGAAATGTGCTGGCCTCATAGTGATAGCAACAAATAAATCACTAAACAACATCTAACATTTCATATTAGGCAATGTAGGAATATGAAACTGTTATGGTAATTTATCCATGCATGCATGGACTCTCCCAGCTATAAATAGGAGCAGGTACTGCCTTTTGGAAGGGTAAGTTTCCAGCAGTCAGCTCTGACAGTTGGACCTAACATTCTTGCTGTAACACTCTTGTTTGTATGTGTTTGTATTACTGTTTCTATTAATATATTTGTTTAACTCAATTCCTCTCTTTGTGTCTTTATTTCTGGTCCTAACAACAGAAACCAAAATAATTAATAATAAAAGAAAAAAAAAGTAAAGTAATAAAATTACTTTAAAATATAAGTAAGAATGATAATTAACATTAAATAAAGAAAAAGGTCAAGAATAAAAAAAATAGTTAAATAAATATGAAAACGCCCATCATGTACTGGAACAGGCGTTTTGTCGCCAAATGAAACAGAACTAAAATTTTTCTCTCCACCTTCAACAGGCAAATGAAGCAGATGTCCAGGGACAGCACTCTTACTGACCATGTGGCTCTTTTATCACTGTATCCATATATGTTCTTTAAAATATACAATTTTTATCTGAAATGTATACAAAAGCATTTTATTGTGTTTGTTGGCACTTGCTGTATTGTATTTTGTTTATGATTTGTTTGTAATTTATATATTTCCAATACGGGGCTGACAATGTCCTTTTGACCCACAAACAAAATTACACACGCACACACACACACACACACACACACACACACACACATATATATGCTAATAATGCAAGACTCTTCAGTAAAGCGAATCGAGATCTCTGTCACTGTGTGTTTATCTAAAAATAAATACGCTTAAATTCACCTTCATCCCTGCTATGCACCAACAGCTTAGGAGTAGAATCTCTGGGTTTCGATCCTAGCTAGAGGCAACCTGATGTCTAGCCACACTGATGAGCTGTGATACAGTGAAACAGTCTGTCTGTGGATGACAATGAACATATATATATATATATATATATATATATATATATTCTTCTGTGCTTTATTAGCCCATGTTTCACACACACATATTGCTGTACATATAATGTCGAACTTTGCAGACTCACTTGCAACAAAATAACTTTGAACTTTGCAGGTTCACTTGCAACAAAATAACTTCAACTCCCTTGCAACAAAAATCATTTTTGAACACTGAAACTATTGGTCTCTTCATGGTCACAATAAAGAACATTTATTTTCAACATATAAATATATACACTGCTGTATAAATGTTACTGTCATATTCAGCTTGGTTTTCTTCCTTTTCTGCAAAGAGCACTTTCTTGTGTTGTTTTTATTTTGTGCTGTATTTTTGGATATGACACTCAGATTTTATTTTTCCACCTAAAATCCAGGTAGACTGGCCCTGTAAATTTAATAAAATAATCAAAAATACTTTGGTCCTTCCTCTTAATAATAACATAAAGACTGTTTTTATCAAGTTTGGGGCATTTTTTTATCATGGTATGCTCCTTTTTTCAACAAATTAGTGGAGGTACCTACATAAAGTGAATTTAGGTAAAAACAGCACAAATGAAAGGAGAGAATCTATTTTTGCAAGCTACTTCATTATACTAATTCACCTAATTGCAACACCTAAAAACTTGATGCTTGAGGCAGATCAACACTCCCAACCACTCTCTAGGTCTCTATGTCTGACAATGTGTACTACTGTCTATCTGGCTTAGGATAATGGGAAGTATAAAGCTAAGATCAGGAATATTTGAAAAACAGCAATAAATTAAGAGGCTGAGGCAACAACAGAGGAAGAAAGGCACCTTGCGAGACAGAAATCATATCTAATTGCAAAAAATAGGATTAGTTTTCTTTCAATATACTTTAATTATTGTTCTGTCCTGGATATAATGATAAACTACATTCAGCCCAAGGCTTCTGATCAGGAAGTTTTGAGGAGCATGGAACCATCAATTAATTGCTGTTGTTCCCAGGTCCACCCTAACCTCAGGTGACAGCACCTGTTAGGGTCCCAGTTATGGGCAAATGGTGAACCTCCAAACTGGGGTCAAAACACTATGAATGTATAAAAATACATTTTTATAGTAAAAATACCAGCAATACATTTTCATAGTAAAAATAAATTACCAGCAATACATTTTTGGAAAAAGAAAAATAAGTCAGTAATACATTATTATAAAAAAAATAAAAAATAAATATTAAAGCTCCCAAGAAAATTAAATTTTGGTATTAAATGACCCATAAATTGATATGCCGTTAAACAAAAACAAACAAAATTAATTAGTGTTCTTATCTTGTTTTCTTATAGATTATATACACAACATTTCAACCAAGTACCTTCTGGCCATCATCAGGTGTCCATTGTTTTGGCTGGCATGGGATATTGATTAATTATTGTGCTATTTTGTCCCTGTGGTATCAGCTATTATTCATTCCTAATAGATGAGGTAGTCAGCTGTTAAGTAATGGTGAACAAGCTAATCTCACAACTGTTTGTTTTTTTTTTTTTATTTTTTATTCATGTTATTGTTCACCCAATCAGGCCTAAGAGTCACTCAATGTAGAGGGTTACTGAATGGGGTTGTTTTATGGGCATGAGGAATTTAGATTATGAGGATTTGTAGGATAGATAATGGTTGACCGTACACTTGAAGAGGTTTAGAGTGTAGTGATTAGGGAAGCATCCTCTCGGGAGCCTATTCTACAAAGTAGTGGTTCTTGGAAAGAAGCTGTCCAAATGCAACTTCCTTCTTACCAATGGAATTTGAATAGGATTAGGATGGTTTGAACCTACGTACATGTCATGGCTGGTCATAGTTTTAAAGGTTTGAATCGGTGGAACAAGGGGTGAAGGTCCTCAGAATATTTTCTATGGGGATAGAGTAGCCGCAGGCTTGTGATGTTTTGTCTGTGGGAAAGAGATTGTAGGGTAGAAAAAATTCATTCATGAGGCTGCGTAAATGTATCTGAACTCTGTCAAGGCTAGAAAGAGAGGATAAGTCATCTCTAGTCCAGGCATGGCAGCAATGTTCCAGTTTTGGTCTGAGCTGACATTTGTAAAGATAAAGCATGGTGGGAGGAGGGTTTTTACTAGTTGCCTCCTAATTGGGACAGTGTTGAAGACTAGCAAGATGAAGGTAGATAGATATGAATAGGCCTAGATAGATAGATAGATAGATATGAACAGATAGATAGATAGATAGATAGATAGATAGATAGATATCAATATGAACAAACTGAGATAGATAGATAGATAGATAGATAGATAGATGGGAAGGAACAGATTGAGATAGATAGATAGATAGATAGATAGATAGATAGATAGATATGAACAGATTGAGATAGATAGATAGATAGATATCAATATGAACAAACAGAGATAGATAGATAGATAGATAGATAGATAGATAGGAAGGAACAGATTGAGATAGATAGATAGATAGATAGATAGATAGATAAATAGATAGATAGATAGATATGAACAGACTGAGATAGATAGATAGATAGATAGATAGATAGATAGATAGATAGATAGATAGATATGAACAGACTTTGATAGATAGATAGATAGATAGATAGATAGATAGATAGATAGATAGATAGATATAAACAGAATGAAATAAGTAAGGACAGACTGAGATAGCTAAATAGATATAAACAGACTGAGATAGATAGATAGATATGAATAGGCCTAGATAGATAGATAGATAGATAGATAGATAGGTAGATAGATAGATAGATAGATAGATAGATAGATAGATATGAACAGACTGAGCAAGAGAAATAGATAGATAGATAGATAGATAGATAGATAGATAGATAGATAGATAGATAGATAGATAGATATGAAACTGAAATTGATAAAAAAGATGAAATGCCTTATTATGCAGTTATGAATAACAGTTTAATCTCACAGACCAGGATTTCTATAACCTTTACTTTACTTAGTGCTCTTCTCTCATGACCTTCTACCAGACTATGCTACTCTTCTTAAATACTAATAAGTATATATTATCTAAAAGTAGAAACAGTAGGAAAAAAATACTTTAGCCCCATTCTCATGTTCACCATTTGAAACCATGAATATTTTTAAACCCTAGGCACTTTTGGTTGAGATCCCTCCCTTCAACTGAAAACTATTTTAGCATATGATGCATAGAATTATCTACAAAATATCTTCACTTTCTGTTGCCTGTGCACTGCAGAAAATTGCTTTTCAATAGTAGGAACTGATTTAGCCTGAAACTTACAACCTACCTCGGCAGCAAATAAGCTCCACCCATCTCCCAACCCCAACACTTATACACAAGGGAAATAAATCTCTTCCCCAAAATTGCCATACCCTGAAGTCAGCAAGAGAAAGGGGAATGTCTGAGTATAGACTCATTCGGTTGTTAAGTTAAAAACTTAGAAGAGGTCTTTGTAATGCGAGACAAGTTTGGAAAGCAGGGAAATGCATCTTGCAGTAGTTTCGTGCTTTTCAATGTGATTTGGAAAGATATACTGCATATTTGGAGAGGGTAGAAAAGGCTGTTCAAATATAGCAAGCATTAAAGTTGTTTGCCAAAAATATAATCAACATTATTAGCAATAAAAAATATAAGAAGTCTGGTTTGAAACTAATGCTTTCTTTCTTGAAAGAATCTAGGATTCTGGATGAAAGAATTTCAAAAGTCTATAGACGATAGTGTTTAAGAGAGGGAAATTTTTTTATGCAACACTCAATCTCTTCATATCTATCTATCTATCTATCTATCTATCTCAATTTGTTCATCTCTATCTAAGTTAGTCTGTTCATATCTATCTATCTATCTATCTATCTCAATCTGTTCATATCCATATATCAGTTTTCATATCTATCTATTTCTCTTGCTCTGTTCATAGCTATCTATCTATCTATCTATCTATCTATCTCAGTCTGTTTATATCTATTTAGTTAGCTATCTCAGTCTGTCCTTATTAATTTCATTCTGTTTATATCTATCTATCTATCTATCTATCTATCTACATCAGCCCCTATCTCATTCTGTTCATATCTTTTTATCTATCTCAATACAGTCATCTCTCTCTTTCTTTTCTCTCTCTCTCTCTCTCTCTCTCTCTCTCTCTCTCTCTCACCATATATATATATATATATATATATATATATATATATATATATATAAAGAAATATAGTCTTAAGATGTGCTATATTTATGGGACAAAGTGCTCAATATCAGAGATAGAGTGTGTGCAAATATAAAAGTGAACATAGAGTCAACACTTTAGCAACAGTCTGTTTCATGCAGATGCAATCGTCAGGCCTGACAATTGCATCTAGCATGAAACAGACTGTCGCCTCTAAGTGTTGACTTCTTTGTTCACTTTTATATTTATATATATATATATATATATATATATATATATATATATATATATAATGTTTGTCTATCCTGTTCATATCTATCTATCTATCCCAATCTGTCCCTATCTGTTTATATCTACATCTGCCCCTATCTCATTTGTTGTTGAATTAAACTGGGATTCTTGAAGATAAAAAGAATTATGATAGGATAGAGAAAAAGGAAGTTACATTGCTGTGGTAGGAAAGTGACTGAAGCTGAGATGCCAAGTCAGGACTGATAACATTGCAGATTCTTCTTTCTTTCCTTTTACAAGTTTTGCCATCATAAATTCTTTCTACTTGAGTGTCTAGAAAGTAGGTCACATTTTTGAAGGTTCAATGACAGTTGCACTATTCATTGAGCATTTTTCAGGGTGATGCACCCTCACAAGTGGCCAGGCTACTGGGAAACGGGTGTTGTTATGGAGTCACCATCACAACCAAAGCTAAAGAGCTTCTACATGCCTATTAGTTGTGTCTATGCCTTTTTATTTTTTTTTTTTACAGTGAGGTTTAATCTGTACAAGTCTCAGTGGTCACTTGAGGTAGAGGATTACATTAGAATGTGACTTATATGGATAGGAAGTAGCAGATAATGAGTAACCAGGTTAACAGGTTAAGATTATAATGATTGGGGAAACATCCTCTTGGGAGTTGGTTCCACAGAGCAGTGGTTCACGGGACGAAACAGTCCAAGTGGAACTTATGTCTGACCAATGGAACACAGAGGGAGTATGGATGGTTTGTCACAATGTAAGTGACATGGTGGGTCCTAGAAGTGAAGGTTAGGACTGATGGAACAAAGGAATGTTGTTCATCTGAACACTTTCTATAGAAGCAGCAATAAAGCAGTGAAAAGCTTGCCACATCCCACCTACAAGAGAGAGGTTGGAGGGTGGAAAATAATTTGTCACTCACAAGGACTCGAAGATGCTTTTGATCTCTATCAAGACTGGAAAATGAGGACAGGGCAGCCCCTACCCAAATATAACAACAGTACTCCGTACTTGTCCTGATTTGGCTTTTGTAAAGGCATAAGGAACCAAGTACTTACTGGAGTGGAACAGGGAGCTGACCATTTTGCTTGCATCTTTAGTGATGGATCATATATGCGAGTTTCATTTGAGGTCAACTGTGAGTTTAAGGCTCAATAGTCCATCAAGACATGGAGCCTACCCAAAGAGACATCCATTCATCATGACAGGCAGTAGTTTAGAGTGATGGCGGAATGTAACTAGTTTGGTTTTTGAGGCACTGAATGTAACTCTTTCCCCTACTGAAAAGTTAGTGCAAGATCAGATCAGAGATCAGCTGCCAATCTCTGATCATCAAGAATTTTGATGGTGCACCCGTATATTGTAGTATCAATGTCATAGTGTTTACAAACAATCTGAGAATATACTTAGGCAAATCATTTATATAAATCAAAAAGAGGGTTGGTCCATGAAGTGACCCCTAAAGGATGCCTCACTAATTTTCTGAGTAATGGTAGTTAGAAAATAAGCAGTGGATCAAAACCTGTACTACTCATCGGTCAAAAGGTTATTCTTATCTAAGTGCTTGATGACCTTCTACCCAATATCATTCAAAAGTCCTGAATTAAACAATAGTTTTCTTTTCAGGTGCTTTGTTTTATATACTAATGTTCAACCAATAAGTGGCTCAAAAGTCACTCAAGGTAGAGGGTTACTGATAAGATGGTTAAGATAAAGGAGGTGCGCAATATAATTGGAACAGGAGGTGGTAGGAAGTGATGCTTATGGGTATAAGGAGAATAGTCAATGCTTGTTTTGAAGGGTTACTGTTAAAATGCTTATAATGAATGATGTGTGTGACATGATGCTTGACTTGAAAAGGATGCTATATGGAGGGTTACCATTCAAATGGCTACAACGAATGATGTGTGTGACATGATGCTTGACTTGAAAAGGATGCTATATAGAGGGTTACCATTCAAATGGCTACGACGAATGATGTGTGTGACATGATGCTTGACTTGAAAAGGATGCTATATAGAGGGTTACCATTCAAATGGCTACAACGAATGATGTGTGTGACATGATGCTTGACTTGAAAAGGACGCTATATAGAGGGTTACCATTCAAATGGCTATGACGAATGATGTGTGTGACATGATGCTTGACTTGAAAAGGACGCTTATATAGAGGGTTACCATACAAATGGCTACAACGAATGATGTGTGACATGATGCTTGACTTGAAAAGGACGCTATATAGAGGGTTACCATTCAAATGGCTACGACGAATGATGTGTGTGACATGATGCTTGACTTGAAAAGGACGCTATATAGAGGGTTACCATTCAAATGGCTACGACGAATGATGTGTGTGACATGATGCTTGACTTGAAAAGGACGCTATATAGAGGGTTACCATTCAAATGGCTATGATGAATGATGTGTGTGACATGATGCTTGACTTGAAAAGGATGCTATGTAGAAGGTTACCATTCAAATGGCTATGATGAATAATATGTGTGGTATGAATGAAACAGGACGTGATAGGAAATTATGATTATGGGCATAAGGAGGATATATAACGATTGACGCTTGACAAGGATAACATGCAGAGGGTTATTGTTAAAATGGTTATGATGAATGATGTGTGTGATGTGAATGAAACAGGAGGTGGTAGCAAGTGTAGATTATGAGTATGAGGAGAATATATAACTTTTGACACATCACTTGAAAAGGATAAGATGCGGAGAGTTACTGTTAAAATTGTTATGATGAATGATGTGTTTGACATAAATGAAATAGTAGGTGATTGAGTGTACCGATTTTGAGGATAGCTAGCAATTGATTCTTGTCTTGAAGAGAACAAGATTATAATATTAAAATAACAAAACAGTGCCACTTGCTAGGTTCATTCTCTCAGGCTGATATTATAAAAGAGTCACCTCCTTGACAATGGTGATATTTGAAACCTAGATCTTGTCGTCATAATGCTAATGATCTAATCATTCAGTCATACGCCATTGAAGATGCAACAAGCATTAAATTTGTCAATATTATGATCATCCTTAAATGGTTTGGATGATTGAAGTTATTCTTCGTGTTCCTTTGTGCATCTATCTATCTCAGTCTGTTCATATCCATCTATCAGTTTTCATATCTATCTCTCTTGCTCAGTCTGTTCATATCTATCTATCTATCTATCTATCTATCTATCTCATAGACATTTATTTAGTTAGCTATCTCAGTCTGTCCTTATCTATTTCATTCTGTTTATATCTATCTATCTATCTATCTATCTATCTATCTATCTATCTATCTATCTCAGCCCCTAGATATCTCATTCTGTTCATATCTTTTTATCTATCTCCATACATTCATCTCTCTCTATATATATACATGTGTGTGTGTGTTTCTGTGTGTCTGTGTGTCTGTGTGTGTGTGTGTGTCTATCTATCTTGCTTTGTTCCTATCCTGTGCATATCTGTCTATCTATCTATGTTTCTATTTATCTATTTACATCTACCCCTACTATCTCATTCTGTTCATATCTATTTATCTATCTCAATTCCTTCTTATCTATCTATCTATCTATCTATCTATTCTTTGTACAAATTGTTCCAGACAATCCAATCTCATGTCTTCTTCAACTGTACAAGCAACCCAGAATATGAAAAAGCATGTCTTGTTTGTTCTACTGAAAAACGCATGAACAGAAAAGAGTGCTATGAATATACTGGCCAACTCAGCTTATTCCCAGCAATGCAAGCCACACAGATGATTCCATTCTATGCAAGTTTTGTAACTGTTATGATGTTGATTTGGGGTTAGTAGAGACAAACGCCAAATAACACGTAACAATAAATAGGGTTTTAATAGGTTGGTAAAAAGGTACAGAAATCGCCTGAGTAGTCAATAACTAGCTCAGCTAAGAACTTCTCGGTCTATCTGTCCTTTTCCATGTCAACTGATATGCCACTATTTAAAGTCTTTGTTCACAGACGCAGACAAGTTCATCTTCAAGAGGGGTGGTAGGTTTCCGACACAACAGTAACAGAGGTGCTTCCATATTTATATTTGGGGTTGCTGACTGGCTTTATCTTTGCAGAGTAAAGAAATCCAAACCCTACTGCCATAAATACTGGACTAACTAGTACAGGTGTCTAACAAGTTAATATATACTAATTCAATTTTCTCACTCTCCAGTGATGTTTCCTATCTATTTAGTTGGACCTCATCCCAAACAGAATAAGGCTTTCTTTCTCTTGATCTTCCATACCAGATTCTTGTACTTCCCATTCATTTTGTTTTTTGTTGTTATTGGTTTTTTTTAATCAAATTCACCCCAAGCAAGGCAGCAATGCCACTGAGACAACAGTTTTTATTAGGTGTGAAAGAATTAGAAAACAAAAATTATTAAGAAGAGTGACCAGGAAAATAGTCAATAATGATGGAAATTGAATTTAAATTTTTGAAGGTCAATGTTGGCTGGAAAGCATGGAGCTGAAAGAATGTTTCACAAGCGAGAAGTGTGAGAAAAGAAACTGTTAGCATAGAACTTACAGTTGCATCTAGCCAATTACTATCTAGTACTGCTCTTAAATTCATAAAGGCTAGGTACCAAAGCGAAGAGCTCATTGAAACAATTATGATGAAAGTATTTAAAGAAAAGGCACAGGGAAACAATTTTACAGCGGTAGGAAAATGGTTGAAGCTGAGATGCCAGGTCAGGCCCAATAATATTGCTGATTCTTCTTTGGATTTTATCAAGAATCTCTAAATATATAGAACGAGCACCAGACTAGATGTGGCAGCAAAGTTCTAAGCATGGACAAATGATAGACTTATGAATAAGATAGATTCTGGAGAGAAAAATTGTCTAGCATTACACAATGAAAAAACTTTCTTAGCTTCAGACTGAGCAATAGATTTAGTATAGTCCTTCCATATCAGCTAAGAATGAGAAGGTATAATGAGTCACTCTCATGGAGGTTAGCATTAGCCATGCTGATTGAAGGTAGAAAGGAGTCTTTCAGATGATTAATAGAGAGCAGTTTTGTTTTGGAGTCGTTAAAATTTTCTATAGATTTTTTTTTTTATATTTGGTAGTTCCTTAGTTTAAGGATTTTTTTTCTATTAATAAAGTGAAATGAAGATTTCAAGGTGTAAAATCCATTAAATATGAGTGTTGAGTCGAAATTCCTCAACTCCAAGACTCAAATGTATTACAAATGTTTTTTCTATAGAATTACATTACCAATTATTTTACTATAGAACTATTGGGTTGGAACCGAAGCTTTAAATGAATTCCAAAAACAATATACAGATATTTATACATAAATTTATTCACCCATATATGGGGCATCTTGTTCCTTTACCTTTCACCATCTTTGAAACAGTTTCAGGATTTATTCCTCCCAGAATTCGGCATCTTTCTGGGTGAGGAATTGATCTAAGCGGTCTTTACAAGGGAATTGAAGTTCTTCCCATTAAAAAAATCTTGTAGAGATCAAAATAAGTGGTGTCAAAGTTTAACATATGTACCAACAAAAAAGGATGTCTTTCTGTTGATACCACTATTATTATATAGTCCATCGGTAATTTTTATTGTTTTAAAAAGTTTTTCTCGGGAACTGAAAGTTAAAACATTAAAAACTATTTTTGTAAATAAGCAGTCTAATAAATAAATAGTGTTTAACATTTTCATTATCAAATCTCAGGAAAAAAAAGTAAGAAAAAATTACAGTAATAAAAAAATGTTCATAGTTATTTCTTTAGAATATGATAAATAATATACTATATTATATATTATGTATTATATATATTTATGTTATATTATATATATTATATTATATATATTATATATTATACATATAATGTGTTGTATTTGGTTCATATTATAATTTTGCAAATATAAAATTATTCTTGTAAATAAACAATCTAATAAATAAACAATATTTAATTCTTTTGTTGCTGATTCTCAAGAACAAAGAGAATGCATGAATTTAATTTCATATGTTAAGTGGCAATCCAAAGGTGTAAGGCCAGGTGAGTAAGGATAGATGAGTAAGGCCATATGAGCAAGGCCACATGTATAAGACCAGGTGAGTAAGGACTGCAAAAAGATATAAAGTTGCTTTCAAGCATGAAACAGTCTCCACTTGGTATTGACCTCAGAGTCCATTTTATATATATATATATATATATATATATATATCCATATGAAATGAGAATGAATTGAAAATAAATTCCAAAGTTGATAACATTAATTTAAAAGAGGCTCAATACAAAAGTAGAGCTATATTCTTTCATTTATGTAGCATTATACTCATGTTGATGTAATTATCCTAAAATTTTTAACATACAACATGTGTTAGCACGTGCGATACCTTGTCTTCAAGCATATTGTCTACCCAATTTCACTCTAAAGGCTTGAGTCTAACTGTGGTATAGTTTTCAGGCATTTTCCAAAGGTATCCCACGCTGGGATTGCTACCTCCAGAACGATAACATCAGGAAGTCTCCTTTTTCACAAATTGACCATGGTGAGATTTGAACCTGGGTTTCATGGTCAGAAAGTGTATGTTCTAACCACTCAGCCATGTGTCCATATTAATAATAATAACAATAATAATAATAGTTGCCATCTTTTGTCTTCCTGAACTCTGTTCTTTTGTTTGTTTTTTCTCTTCCCTAAAATCTTTTCATTCTCTTTCACTTCCAGTAACCCCTTAAATTATTATTTGGTATTATAACACTTGCCTGGGGTGAAATGATTTAAAAAAAAAAAAATTAAAATGCAGAATATATACGCATTAAAAAATTATTTCAAAAATAAAATAAAAAAAAAAAATATTTATAAGAATACTATTATTATTAAAAATTAAAATTATTATTTGTTAAGAACAGTTATTATTAAAAAAAAATTTTATAAGAATTATTATTATTCAGATTATTATTATTATTATTATTATTATTATTATCATCATCATCATTCGATTTCTGCTATGGACACACTACCTACCAAGTTCTGTGAAAGACCTAAGGCAGGTCGGTGTGTTGTTATTGTTCCATTAAGTTGCTAGGACAAAGTTCATGTTAATTTTTTTTTTTTTTTTTTTTATTATTATTATTATTTCATCATCATCATCATTCGATTTCTATTGGACACACTACCTACCAAGTTCAAAGACCTAAGGCAGGTCGTGGTGTTTGTTATGGCCATTTCATGTTAATTTTTTTTTTTTTTTTTTTTTTTATTTGCTATTATTACAAAGTTCTCCTAGTGTTGTATTAAGACAATTTTCTGTATGTCTCTTAAGCTGGGGTTTCATTTTTCAATGTGTTGTTTTGTTCCATTTTTATAATTCCAATTGTTATTACCACTTATATATTATTTTCAATTTCCATTTTTTCTATTTCATTTTGTATTTTGATAGTTTTTCAAATTCCTTGGTTGCTTATTTATTATTCATTAGTAGGCAAGTTTTTCTTTCTGGTTTTTTAATAATGTCCTAGCCTATTTGCTTCAATTTTTCTGTCTGTGGATGGTATAATCCCACAGAATGGTATTTCTGTAACCGATAATGATGTTCTTCAGTTCATACCAGTGTTTGCTTCATTTTCCAAAGTGTTTGCACATTGTCCATTGTTATTTTTATATTCATTAGGGCAAGTATAGAACATCCTGAGATTAGATGGTCTATTGTTTCTTGGTATTTGTCACAGAACCTTTTTGGATTTATTATGATATTATTATTATTTGACCAAAGCCTTCAGTTTCAGACTAATCCAGATGCTCGATGAACCATCAATTGTATCAACATTGGGTTTATTTGCACGTTCTGGATATTGGCCATGCAGAGGTTTGTCTTGCCAATTGTTTCATCTGTTCAAATATCTTTTGCTGCAATAGTTGGTTCTTGGCCTGTTTTTTTATTTTATTACAGAATCTACTAAATGTAAAATGTTGTTTGTATTTACTGCCTTCTTTTATTATTGAATATTTTTTCTTTCTGTTTTCAAATTTTATCATCCAGTCATTTGTTGTTTCCATGTAGTTAGTAAGCCAATAGTTGTTGTCTTGTATGAAATTCTAGCTGAATAAGACCTCTTCCACCTTCTTTATGTATAGACGGTCCACATCAGCCTTTGGATGATGCATCTTATACTTAGAAAGAAGCTTTTCCATTTGTCTGATGTCATTTAGAGTCCAGTTCAAGATGTTGAAACTATATTGGACCACTGGGATGGCAAGGTTGCCCTGTTCTGAGAATTCAATTCAGTTTTAATACCAGTTAAAATTTTCTATAGTACTTTTACGCACTTTTTCTTTCATTTTCTTATG